TAAAGTTGGGAGAACCACTGACAGAATTTAAACCTTTGAATATGGGAGATGAGGCAGGTAGTGAGTTACAATAGATGTTTTAAGTATTTAATGTGGTTGGTTCATGTTGAAATTGAAACCCAGGCTAAGTTACTGATGCATTGGTAGTGTCAGTGTACTATAGCTTTTCCCCAGTTTCCCCTTTCCCCCTTTGACATGAGCATACAAATGAACTTTGTAGAGACAATTATTTTACATCTGTTTACCCCATAATAATTTCAGAACTTGGTCATCAGTGCGGTCCTCGTAACAAATGTACATAATAGGAAAAATGATAGTCCCAGGTTCCCTAGAGATACCGGACAGTCCTTGGGCTCACGTTTCTTCATGCAATGACCTGCTGAATCAGGGGTATGATAATAACAGTTAACCCATATAAGGCTTAGTATGTGCCAGGTGCTACTCTAGGTGTTTTTGCCTGTTTTAAGCTTCACAACAATCTTTTGAAGTAGTTAGTATTATATTTCTGTCTTTAGATGAGAACTCAAGACACAGATTTAGTATTGGGATGCCCAAGATCCCACCGCTGGTAAGTGGAGGAACTGGGCTTTTCACTCAGGCACTCTAGGTCTGGAGTCTGTGCTGTTGACCTTGGTGCCTGCTATCCATGCCTCTTAGATTTAGCCTTTTATTTCCATGTTCCCCCTGCCTTCACTTCCCTTGTTTACCTGACCTTCCCATATGTATCTGAATTAGAGCACTTGCCCAATACTTTCACATCTTGGTTTCCGACCCTTTTCTTTGCTACCCATGCTTCCTCTTCCATTAACCCACCGTTTAGGCTAGAAGCCTTACTGGATTTCATCCCAGGAAGAACAAACAAATAATTCTTTATCTAGATCTCTCTTAGTGCTTGTGTTGCTTAGCTAACATCAGCTATTCATTTACAAATCTTGGTTCTCTTCTATTTCCCCAAGCTCCGGAAAGGTTGTCTCTCCACCTTAAGCTTCCCTGCCCTTGGAATATATCTCATAATTTACATGTTGAATGAATTAACAGAGAACAACCCCATTCACAAACATAATAACTAACTTGTATATTGAGAAACGGAGTACAGTTTCTGCTTGGCTTCCTTTGATTCTTTTATTTGTTTTTTGAGAGAGAGAGAGAGAGAGAGAGAGAGCAAATGAGCTTGGGGCAGAGAGAGAGAATCCCAGGAGGGGCAGAGAGAAAGTGAGAGAGAAGCAGGGCTCACTGAAGCCGGGACTTGAGGTCACCTGACGTGGGACTGAACTCACAAACCCTGAGATCATGACCTGACCCAAAGTCAGATTCATAACTACTGAGCCACCAGGTACCTGGCTTCCTTTGATTCTTGCTTGTCCTTTGATCTTTGGCCATCATACCTGGGTAGGGAGCCAGTGGCCCACCTATTTTGTTGTGTCTGGTTCCATTGAGGTGTAATGAATAATGACCCTTCACCCCTTCCATCTCCTCAGGTAGAATTTCTCTCCTAAATCCTAGAATGGTTATGGGGGCAAGTTTTAAGATCTATAGCACTGCCCTAAAGTACTTCAAGAACTTGCCAAGAATTGGTCAATTCTTAACCTGTGGGGCTCTTAACACTTGGCCTGCTTCTTTGTGCTACTGAAATTTTCCAGCTACTTCTAAAGAGGTTTCAGAAAACTGTTAATTTGCAATGTTTTTGGAGATGGATCTGAATCTCACTTCACAAACGCAAGGATGCAAGAAATAAAATTGTATTTACTTATTTTATTTTATTTTAGCACCTCTCTGACCCTTTCTTATTCCTATCTGCTTATCTGTTTTTCTCCATATAAACTACCCCTTCTTGAGTCAACCCTCCTGCCCCTGCGCCACCCTGACGGTATGGTGAACAATGCAGATAGTTGTTGACAAATTCTGTTCGTGCAAGCGATCTGACACGGTAGAGGTATTTTTGGAAAGGCATGGGCAAATTGAGTCAAGATTGCATGCATTCAGAGCATGCAGTGCATGAAGGAAACCCGAGGTGGGTTCTCTATAAAATGAGCCATCTTCTCTAATCTGTCTTAGAGAGACAATTCACCTCTTTTGCAGCTTTCCTATAATTGAAGAAACTCATATATGATTTGTTTAAAGTATTGAATAGTCTTCACTCAACTTAAAAACCATAGTCCAGAAAGTAACAGATGCAAGCCTGCCATTGGTTTGTTCATATTTCCTTAGTCCATGCTATCATGCTACTTGTCCTGCAAGAAATGGGATGGATCCTGTGTGTTCTCTATTAATTGATAACGATATTGACAAGAGCTTTTTGTGTGAACTCTAGAATCCTAGTGAATACAGTGATTCTTGGCTACGTCCTGGCAGAAGTCAGTATACCCTCAGTAAGACTGACATTTTACCACAAAACTCAAACGATGATTACCTTTATCCAATTTGCCAAATTGGATTTGGTTAGAATTAGAATTCTGTGCATGTGAATTTTTTTAATTTAAATTAAAATATTTTTCACGTTTACTTATTTTTGACAGAGAGAGAAAGACAGAGCGTGAGTGAATGGGGGAGGGACAGAGAGAGGGAGACACAGAATCTGAAGCAGGCTCCATGCTCTGAACTGTCAGCACAGAGCCTGATGCAGGGCTCAAACTCAAGAACTGTGAGATCACGACCTGAGCCGAAGTTGGATGCTTAACCAACTGGGCCCCCCTGTGCATGTGAATTTATTTCCTATCACACTTTATTTCATAGCAAGAGCACTATCAGTTGTGGGGTGCCTGGGTGTCTCAGTCGGTTAAGCATCCAACTCTTGATTTCAGCTAAGGTCATGATCTCAGTTTGTGGGATCATTTGACTCCTGCAAATGACTCCTGCATAGAGCTCTACTCTGACAGCACAGGGCCTGCTTGGGATTCTTTCTCTCTCTGTGTACCTCCTCCACTCGCACATGTGTTCTCTCTCCCTCTTTCTTTCTCTCTCTCTCTCTCTCTCTCTCTCTCTCTGAAAATAAATAAGCTTTAAAAAAACACTATCAGTTGTTTTAACTTTTTCAGTAAATTGGGCAACTGATACATATAGAAGTTGAATTATTTTATTAATATTTATTTGCTCTGCTGCCTATATTGCCAGCAAACAAATATTAATGAAATTACTGAAATAGCTCTTCGTGGTTAGATTAATGGCCTCTTGTTCTTGTTTTTCATAAACATTGGTTCATGGTGTTATAATACAGCGTTTTCCAGCTCACTTCATGGCCAGGCATACGTATATAATAATAATACTTTATATGGGACATTGGGGTAAAGGGCTCTCTGGAGCTTAGCTCCTCAGGGGCTGAGGGGATCAGTATTCTAGTACGCGTGTACCCTCTTCAAGGCACACCAGCGTGCTGCATGCCTATTCTGGGAAGCTGTATTATGGTGCATCACAGACTTTATATAGTCCTGATTTCTGCTAGTAACATTGTTTCTTGATCTTATGATGACATGAAATGTTTCACTAATCATCGGCGTTCTGGTTCATATTTTCCAGAAGGGCACTGTTACTCTCTAGCTGTCCTTCTTTCCTAGGTTGGAGAAGAGGAGATATAGTATCTAAATTCATGCACCAGTGTCAGGAAAGTTTCCTGCCTCTTTTTGACACTTGTTGGACACTAGTTGGACTAGTCACTTGCTGCCACATGGCTTCCAGTTATCTGGCTTTGAACCGTGGCCATTAAGTCTTACTGAGAGGTTAGTTTGATAAGTCTACTCAATAGGAAGACCTTGTATAAGAAGTGGAAAGGTTGAGGGGTGCCTGGGTGGCTCAGTCAGTTGACTGTCTGACTCTTGATTTTGGCTCAGGTCATGGTCCCACAGTCACGGGATTGAGCCCCACACCAGGCTCAGGCTGTGTGGAGCCTGCCTGGGATTCTCTCTCTCTCCTTCTCTCTTTGCCCCTCCCCTGCTCATGCTCTTGGTCTCTCTCAACATAAATAAACATTTTTTTTTTTTAAAGTACAAAGAGGGGGGGTGCCTGGGTGGCGCAGTCGGTTAAGCGTCCGACTTCAACCAGGTCACGATCTCACGGTCCGTGAGTTCGAGCCCCGCGTCGGGCTCTGGGCTGATGGCTCAGAGCCTGGAGCCTGTTTCCGATTCTGTGTCTCCCTCTCTCTCTCTGCCCCTTGCCCGTTCATGCTCTGTCTCTCTCTGTCCCAAAAATAAATAAACGTTGAAAAAAAAAAAAGTACAAAGAGGGGAATATACTCTGTAGGGTCTTTGCTGGGTGGATGACTTGGGTCTCCTCTCTTTGCTCTTTCTCCAACCAAGTAACTTCCTGCAGACACTTAATGCAGAGCTCAATGCCCTCAGGTTCAAAGGACAAGTGATGGCAGACTGTATGTTCTTTGCACATTTCTGAAAAGCTCCTGGTAACGTCTGAGGTGTTCTGCTTCTCAGTGCTGGAACCAGAGTTAACTGGCTGTTTGCCTCTCCCACACTCATTTCTTTCTTCTACTCTCAAAACAACCAACACACTTAAGTATATAAGCTACAAAACACTTTAAAGATACCTGTAGTAAATATAAAACTTCTCTCTCTTTTATTTGCATTTAGATAAAGTATTCTTCCTCGATTCCTAGTGTGTTATTGGACCTGTGATTGCTGATGGAGAGGAGGAGGAAAAGGACTAAATCCTAAAATGCACAAGTCTTAGTGTTCAGTCCTAGAACTACCACTTATCCAGCCAAACGGTCATGTTTAATTTCTAAGCCATCTTGGTAAAATGGGACTGATGATACCTGCCCAATTTCCCTCTCAGAGCTAATCCGAAAAATCAGATCTCATGTATGAAAATACTTTGCAGGCTCTAAAAGCAAAAAGTAAATATAATTTGTTATCGTATTAAAAGTGGGCAGTTGGTCCTCAAGAGTACTGTCAGCTGCTTGTAGGAATTCAAACACCAAGAGTGGGTGAGTGTGGCTCTGGTGGTGGTGGAGTTGACTCATACCCTCCCTCTGTGTTCCCTCCCTCTCCCTGCAGAGCAACCTGATCCACTACCTGGGCCTGAGCCATCATCTGCTCGCACTGAATTTTATCATCGTTTCTTTTGGCAAGAAAAGCGCCTGGTCGTCTCCTCAGGTGAAGGTGACCGATACTGACTTTGACGGTGTGGAGGTCAGAGTGTTTGAGGGCTCCCCAAAGCCAGAAGAGCCTTTGAAACGCAGTGTTGTTTACATCCATGGAGGAGGCTGGGCTTTAGCCAGTGCAAGTATGTCCTGGTCACCTTCAGGTTGTTTGGGATTGTGGTTGGCCCTGGGAGGGATGTGTGATTGAGTTTGACTTCCTTATTGGGTAAGGGCCATTTGACTTGGTTCCCCTGGACAGTCTCAGCTACCTCTATTATCCCAGCAGGATTGTTAATAGTGTCCCCTTTTCGCACTCAAAAGGGTCCTGGTTTTTGATGAATGATTCTATGATTACCCTACATACATAAAGGTTTTGCCCACCTGTTTACTGCTTGTTAATTCAGGCCCACTGTTTTGAAAATATTTCCTGTGACCGAAATCATAGGCTAACTCATGTGAAGGGCTGACAATAGCTTTCTCCACCAAGACAAGTTGAAGTTTCGCTGGGCCGGAATATGAGGAAATTATCTGCAGCTCTTTTGCCAACTTGTGTTTGAAGACATTTTTCTATGAAATAGGACAAGTGTTTCTGAATACCTACATTAACTCATCCACGTTCCATCTGCTTATGAAACCAAAGATGAAGCTATAAAGGGTATACCACCCTTAAAAGGAAACAATGCTGCAAAATTCAAGAATATTCTTGTTGGTGTCGGATAACTTTCATGAGCAGAACACATTCAAAATGGCAGGCAGCCAAGTGGAGCAGCCTGGCGGAAAGAATACCAAGGAGGAAGTAAGGGCCTTATCTCTGCCTGTCATTATGGAGCTACTACCGCATCGTTAGCCCAAAGCTTTTGGCATCCCCTAGGTTTAAGGCAATGACAACTTGTTCCAGTTTGTGTTTTTATATAACATTTGTTTAATGTGGCAAAGGCCAAAGAAGTATAACTTTTTCTTGTAATCCCATTTCGTAGTCATTATTTATTCTTTGATTTCATGGATTTGCTCAAGTTTTCAACAGATGTTTACTGAGTAAGTAGGTTTGCCCAGGACTGAGGGGTTCTCTGGGGGTACAGGACTTCCAGTAGAAAAACTCAAATAGTTATGTACAATCTTACACTTTTGGTTACCCTAATGTGTGCTAGGGGATGAGAGCATAAAATGGAGTAACAAATGATTGCAATCTATATAGTATTGGACACTTGCCCAGTGAGACATTCCATGGAGACCAGGAAGTGTAAGTGCTGGAAATGGCATGGATTATGAGTTCACATGGCCTTTTCCCCGTAATTTTGACTGATCACTCCTGCCAGAGGAAGAGCTCGGGCTGTGGGCTCTCTGCAGGTGGTTATGTAGTTACTAAACTTCTGGTTCTAAGACTGCCTTGGAAAATGTATAATTAAAGTAATATTTGGCTCTCTGTAGGCAAATTCATCTCTTAGTTTATTGAAATAAGACCTAAGGGATTCAAATTTTATGTATTAAAATTGTTTGTCACTGCACCCCTTTGGATCCTGTTTCTAAGAATGCTAAGACTTCCTAAAATTCTATTTTTTATTTGTTGGTTTAAACAAAATATCCTGTTCTTCAAATTGGAAGAATTCAATTGAATTGCAGCAAATAAAGATATTAAAACAGAAAAATTATGTAGTTCTAAGGAGGTAACTCTTCATCTGCAGTGTTTTTTGAAAACACGTATGTTTGAAGAGCTACAAAATCAGAATTTGGTGCATTTCACATAGTCTATTATGAAATCAATGGCTACTTAGTTAAAAACGCATTCAAAGGTAACCTAATATGGATGTCCTGTTATTTTATACTAATTGCATTTTATCAGAAACCAGATTTAATTTTTGCATTTGTATATGTAACCCTATTAATGATACATATTTCGATATTTGCTTTTTATGGTTTTTATTATTAATAACTTAAGTGCAAGTCTAAGAGCAATCCACGATTAGCAGAATTTAAGAATGGACAGTGTTAAGTAACTTGTTTAATAATGATTGTTCCTTTGTCTCTTTTAGAAATCAGGTATTATGATGAACTGTGCACAGCAATGGCTGAAGAATTGAATGCTGTCATTGTCTCCATTGAGTAAGTAATTAATGCTAGTCATAAAAAAATAATTTTTAAGAAGGGATCTTAGATAACCATCTAGTTACTGTACTTTGTAAGTAAAATAAAGTGCAAAATACAGATCCAGAAAGATGAAGGGATTTGCCCAAGGTCACACAAAATGATTTTCTGATATAACGTAGAATTTCGTGAACTAGTTTTATAACACCTTGAATTATCTTTTTATTTTAGTTTTGAAAACTTCTGGAAAAGTTCTGAAAAGAATTAACGGAAATTTAGGAAAATATACAATCAGTTATCTGCAGGAAATAATTTTGTTTATTACCTTTTAAAATTTAAAACCAGGGGTGCCTGGGTGGCTCAGTCAGTTAAGCATCCGGCTTCAGCTCAGGTCATGATCTTGCGGTTCGTGGGTTCAAGCCCCACCTCAGGCTCTGTGCTGACAGCTCAGAGGCTGGAGCCTGCCTCGGATTCTGTGTCTCCCTCTCTCTCTGTCCCTCCCTTGCTCGTGCTCTGTCTCTCTCTCTCAAAAACGAATAAACGTTAAAAAAATTTTTTTAAATAAAATTTAAAAACCAATTAAGAGTTGGAAAAGTCATTCTGCTGGAGTTCCGTTCTGTATCTCAGACCTTGTAAATGTAATGTGTTCAGCAAATCTCAGTCAATGCCGTTATTGTCATTATTATTAAGAGTACTAATAACAGTATGACTAATAATTATAGCAATTGTGGTGATAGTAATAATACAGAAATCCTGGTACCTGTCCTGTGGCAGGCATGTGCCGGAGCTATTGCATACATTGTCTCTCCTCCTTCAGACCTTTGTTCACATATCATCCTTTCAGCAAGGCTTTTCTTGATACTATTTAAAATTGCAGCCCACTTTTCCTGTTTTATTTTCCTCCAGAACTGTCATCAACCTCTGACAGACCATAATAAATATATAATACATAATAAATACTTATCATGTGTGTAGTGTGCTAGGTTGAAATAGACTAAGTAAGTTCCATGAAGAGAGGGATTTTAGGGATTTTTGCCTGTTTTGTTCATTGTTTGTTTTAATTTTTTTTAATGTTTATTTTTGAGAGAGAGAGAGACAGACAGACCATGAGTGGGGGAGGGGCAGAGAGAGAAAGGGAAACACAGAATCCAAAGCAGACTCCAGGCTCTGAGTTGTCAGCACAGAGCCCCATGAGGGGCTCAAACTCACAGACTTCAAGATCATAACCTGAGCTGAAGTCTGACGCTTAACTGACTGAGCCATCCAGGAGCCCCTGTTTTGTTCATTGTTCATGATTAGTGCCTGGAGACATCCCTGGCAGATAGTATTCAATAAATATTTACTGAAGGAATGAATAAGGAGTCTTTCTTAATTCTCATATAAATCATCCAAGACAAGTATTTTGTTATTTTTCTCATAGATGAGGAAATTGAGAGCCCAGAAGTTAAGTAACCTTCATAAGGTTACATAGCTAGCAAGTTACATAAATAGAGTGAGGCATTTTACCCAGGTGTTGAGGCCCCTATACATTTTTAATCCAATATCAAGCCAGTATTGAAGAAAGCTGATAATGCTGAGCTGACAAGATTATAACATTAACCACTTTCCACGCCAGGAGCTCATCCAGCTCTCTTCTTCCCTCTGCCTCTCTCCACCATAGCTCATCCCCTCTGTGCCCTTGCTCCAGATCTGAGACCTAAGAGAATCTGTTCTTCTGCAGGGTCTGGGAAGGGCTGGTGTCCCAAGTCACTTGGGCAGCTGTGATCCTGGAACAGAAGACTTAGTCACACAGAGCAGTGTTATTGCTCCTCCTTAGCAGATTTGCCCTCCGAGACAGCTCTGGACAGCTCCCAGCCTTCCCTGGCCTCTCCACACACCACCCAGGTCACTCAAGGGCCCTCAGTGCAGTTTTATAATGTAGGAACCTTCAAGTAAAGGATTGCATCATCTAGCCTGGGCAGCTGGCCAGAGAAAAGCAGGAGCTGTTTAAATAGCTGAGCCCCATTATAGAGCTAGACCCTACAGCTCAGAACTGAGGAACCAGCCTCATGGACTTTTCAGTGGTTTCCTGTGTAGCTCCAGCTCCTCAAATCCTCAAAAGCCCGAGAAAAGGAGGGAAACTGGGCTTACTTAACTTGGCACCGTGAGGATTCTCCACACAGGACTTACCATCCAGGGCTTCAATATAAGCAATTGGCAGCGTGCCTAAATTCTTCCTACATGCCCTTCTCTACCCGTCACCATCTGTCTCAAGTAAAAGGTGTTCTTTTAATTCCAGGCTTATCATAAAACATAGATAGGATGTTTTTAAGATTTCTTTTAAATCTAGAAGGACTGCTCTCGTCTTACCTTTCCATTGTGCCTCATCTATGTAGTGTACTATCCACAAGTTTATTACTGGGAGGTGTCACAGCAGTAGGCAAGTACTGTTACTCATGACTGCATGACCTCAGGCAGATCATTTAATGAAATGTGCAAACTGGAGTTAAGAATCCTTCCTGTATATCTAGAATGTGAGCTACTGGGAAGAGAAATCATGTCTTCTTTCCTTTGGTTCCCATCACCTAGTACAAGACTTAGAACATGTAGGCTAAGTAAAACACATGTTGAGTTAGGTCAGTGACTCCAGAGAATTGTCATGAGTATCAGTTTGGACAGTGGAGGTAAGAGGGCTTCAGATACTCTAATGCACTAGACAAGTCTGGAGGATCAGTGCTCTAGCCATGGAATGGAAAGACCCAACCTACAAATTTATTTATCAACTGTGTGTTTGGAACTCACAGCACTCCCTTGCAGAAATCAAGAGCTAAGGTGGTTAGAATCTAGGCCAGCCAGCCCACAAAAAGTCACATAACCTATGCTCTAGTTGAAGGATAGCCAATACCACGTGGTCTGTGATCATGCTGTTTCTCTTGGAAAGTATATTCAGCTATCTAACTTGGGAACATATTTCTTCTCACTGCTCACTTCTTTCCTCTTCTATTCCACAAATGTTTATTGAATTTCTGTTATGTGCCAGTTACTGTTACACTCTGCTGACATAACAGTGTAAAGCAATCATAATCCTGCCTCCTGGGGGTTACAATCTAGATGAAAAAACAAAACACAAACAAGTAAGGTTAAATTATGATAAGTGATATGAAGTAGAAGACATCAAATAGGTAATATCTTACCTAGTTTAAAGGGTTTATTATTAATAGTATTAATAAGAATGAATAATAATTATAGCAATTGTGGTGAAAGTAATAATAATGCAAAAATCCTGGTACCTCACCAAATAGGTAAGATCTTACCTAGTTTGAAGGGTCAGAGAATTCATGTCTTAAAGAAAGTGATGTTTGCATTGAGCTCCTAAGAATGAGCAGAATCTAGTTAGACAAAGTGAGTTGGTCATGAGAGTCCAGAGTGGTGTAATGAGAGGGCTTGGGAGGAATGGGAGAAAGCAGAGAGCGCGAAGGGAACAAAACACAAGAGAAGACAGATGGGGAGATTTCTGGCCATGAATAAGGAAAATAAGAAAGAGGAGTGGATGATTTGAGAGTCTTAGGAGGATGATGGACCCCTGGTTCTCCTGGAATTCTACCTTCTAGTGGGGAGGCTGTCTGGAGACCACTGCTCCTTATCCTTGAGGGCCATAGGTTTGGGTGGCGGCATGGCTTAGCTTCCCATGGGGTGTGGTTCCGGGGAAGGTTATAGCCTGAGGAAGCTGGTAGGCAGTGGTTGAGGGCAGCCCTGGTAATGGAATCACTCCCATGCAGTGAGTACCAGGAGCTGGAATGCCTCAGTTCATGTTGCTGGTGCTGGCTCACAGTTCTGGGAACAGACCCAGCAACTATGGTAGATAACAGCCTTAAGATATAAAAATAGACCATGCTTCTGTTCAGTTGCTTCTACAATACGATGCTATGCTTACATATCAGTTGCACACAAATATTTGTTAAACAAATAAAGTTCATCTTATACTACGCAAGTAAGATACATGAATTCATGCTCATTTATATAATCTAGGAAGGTCCTATTTTATGTTCCTAAACCTATTTTCATAAACGTATTTCATAGTGCATTTTAGCCAGAACACTGTACCTTTTTACCTGTAGTTTATATAATACGACACAGTATTGGAGCCATAAGATATAAGGAAGATTTAATTTCTTTCTTTTTTTTTTTTTTAATGTTTATTTTTTTGAGAGAGAGAGTGCTCAAGCAGGGGAAGGGTAGCGAGAGGAGAACAGAGGATCCAAAGCGGGCTCTGCATTGACAGCAGCGAGCCTGATGTGGGGCTCGAACTCACAAACCACGAGATCATGACCTAAGCCAAAGTCAGGTGTTCAACCTACTGAGCTACCCAGCTGCCCCTAATTTCTTTTTTTTTTTTAATGTTTATTTGTTTATTTTGGAGAGAGAAGGAGAGAGCGAGCCAGGGAGGGGAAGAAAGAGAGGGGGAGACAGAATCCCAAGCAGGTTCCTTGCTGTCAGCACAGAGTGCGATGTGGGGTTCGAACCCACGAACCGTGTGATCATGACCTGAGCCAAAACCAAGAGTTGGATGCTTACCCCACAGAGCCACCCAGGTGCCCCCATCTTTTTTTTAAAGATAAAATGTCAGATAATAGCAAAGGAGGCATGTTGGATGTGATTAAATTCTATTTGATCTACTTAATTCATTACTTCTACAAGGCATCTTCGTTGCTTTTTTTGGGTATGGCAAATGGTTTTTAAGTTGTGTTATGCTTTTAATTAAATCTTTTCTACACTCAAACTCCCTATTTTATGTAGGTGGAGACATAGTCCCATTCCACCAAATGTCAGGTGGCATTGTGCACAGAGCACTTGAAACTTCACAGAGCTGTAAAGAATGTTGCTAATGTAGACAGAAAAGAAGCTGGAGTACTTATCTTAGTCTGCGGCAAACAGGGTTATAAGGAAGGGGATCTTTATGTTTCTCTTTTTAATCCACAAAATTAGATGAGTGCAAGCTGACAAAATCAGAGTGCTTTTAGGAGGCTCAGTACACCACA